ACGTAAAGTTGGAGCTCTGTTACAGAGAAGTGCTGACATAACGAGGAAAATCCATCATGAGAATAAAAACATACTCACGGTACAATTATAGGACTAGAACCCAAGTTAATCCGATGTACTGGGCTGTAATATGATAGTTTCAAATAACCATTTTGGACATATTAGGATTATAGAATGTCATTTATGTACAGAATTAAACTGTAAACTGATCAGCCAGTATTGTAGTTAAACTGTTTGCACATCATATCAATCACAGTTACTTCTTATACATATGAATAACGTTTTCCTTATCATTTAGTTGTTTCCACCTTTGACTAATAACACCAGTATGGCATCTAAAAGCAGTAAATAAAAAAAAAAACAATCAAATTAAATGTCAATATCAATGCATATTGAAGGCAGCATAACAACAACAACTCTGTTGCATGTATACTGATATATGTAACAGGTTTTAATTTAAAAAAAGTCATCTGTGTCAATGAAACTGGTATAATTCAGATATTTTTTAATGAAAAAAATATTTTGAATAGATTAACGTTAATTCAGCTGAAGCAGCTCTCTGACTTAACTGATGTAGCCCCCACCGGATGCACATGACATTAAGAAAAAGTTTTCTGCTAAACGACAGACTCGTTAGTCCACTTGTAGCCAAAGTTCTCTAACAAGAGCTTTCTCATAAATACTCCTACATGTACAGCATGTGCTCAATTAGACTGAGAGGTACCGGGGGACTCTGAAATGCTCCAAAGTTCCACCTCTCCATAGTTTAGTAAAAGCATAATCCTTTGTTTGTTTCTTTCTTTTGTCAGACAACTAAACACCTCCGTCATTCTGATTCGGAAACTGTGTCATAAACCTGTAGCTGCTTAAAGCATTTGCAGGCGGACGATCTGCTCTGATAATATCAGCCTCATCCGGATAAACTCAACTTTCAGAAAACAACAAGTGCTGTGTAGAATGTAGCTGTGAACTGTTACTAGGACAGTGAGGGCTAAGCCACACATAGTAAACATTTACTTAGTGGCTGATGCCTGAACTTGTAAAATATGACATCTTTGAAGCAAGAGAGAAAGACGCCTCAGTGCTTTTCCATCTAGAACCTGCTAACCTCCACTTAGCCATCTAGCTAGCGTGTGCTAATTTCCGCAGAGCCGTGCGCCGCTCCATGCACGTACATCCTGTGGTGGGATTTACCTCCACCCTACCTGTGTCATAGAACTAAAGAGTTGTTTGGAAAAGGAGGTGGAATTGTGCTTACACAGTGGACGTTAGCCCACTCCCACAGTCATGAATGCCTCCATGTATCCTGATCATGTCTGATACACAAAAAGTTCTGACTGAAGGCATCTATCGCTTGTGTTGGTGGCAAATTAAGTCGTGAATGATCAAGAAATGCCTTTAGGGTTGCAGATTGAGTCCGATTCCATACGGTTTTCTTGGTGTGCAGACTCTACTTTTTTCCTATTTTGCGAGTTCTGTACAAAATATTTTGAGCAATCTGCCCTGAGTGGATCATTGACTTAGAGCAAGGGCCCAGATTAGGTCCTGAAAATTTTTGGAAAACACAACACAAATTCCTCAAATGTCATTTTCCGGTCAGTGAGCCGGACGCAGAGCGTCCAGGCTAGGGTCAGGCAGCAGATAATGACCCTGGCCGCAGGACATTCTTTCTGTAAATTGCTACCTGAGGAAAACAAAACAAAAAAAAGGCCCGAGGCATGCCGACTCCCCAGAAAAACGAGACGGCTGGAACTGTACAGCGCGCTGGAACGGCTGAGGGCCAGCGGAGGTGTTGCCACATTGGTTCCTCACCATAATGACACGGTTGCTGGTTCAGATCCCGTTTCCATCTGTCCGCAGGCCCGGATCGAGGAGCTGGAGGAGGAGCTGGAGGCGGAGCGGGCCGTGCGAGCTAAGGTACGGTACAAGTTTCTAACCGGAAGGGCTGAGCTCAGGGTGTGTGGGGGCAGAGGGGAGGCGGCAGCCTGGACCAGAACCTCTGCCCCCTGGTACAGACCGGTCTCTGGACCGGCAGTGGTGTGCAGAAAAAGACAAGAAAAGAGAAGCTGCCTCTTTGCCTCTGGTCATCCCAAACCCTCTGCACCTGTGATAATAAACCGGGGCGTGTTTGTGATGACCAGACAGGGCAATGACCCTCCTCCTGGTTTCGGATTTTTCCAGATCTCTCCCTCCATCCATTACACACACACACATTAGTGCACCCTCTTTCCCTTTTGGGAATCTAGAGCCAACTTTTCTGATTCTCTTCAGAATCTGTTTCACTACAACCAACTAATCTTCTTAGTCGGGCCCTTCAAGTGCCTGTTAGCTCAGACACGGCTCTCTTAAAGCCTGTTTGTTCTTAGGCTTGTCCCTCTTAAGTTACAGTAGGCGAGGGCAGAGAGGCAGAGGAGCATATTTCATCCTGAGTGTTGAGTGGAGCGACAGCGGGGCCCCCCAGGGTGCCATTCCTGCTCCGCTCCCCGTAGTGGGTGGTACTCTAATGGGAGCCCTGCAGCCGGCGCAGCGGCGTGCGGGGCAGGCTGAGACCTGCGGGGTTTATCTGTGGAGCTGGAGCACCACATACCTCCACCACAGACAGGCCCGCCATTGTTCCCGCTCCTCCCCAGGTCACATGGGCACAGATAGCATCATCAGAGCCACGGTGACAGACCACTGGATCCTCTCCCAGCTGGAATGCCAGTCAGAATTTTAGCTGTGTGGACATTAGTGGGGGTAACACACACAAACACACACACACGCAACGACAGTCAACCAGCTCATATCTTGTTGACTAAGCACACTTCTTAGAAAAGTGTCCTGTGCATGTCTTGTATTGTTTAATGTCTATATTTTCAGAGAAACAGAAAATGGTTAAAACAGGATAATAGGCCAAAGCAGAGTTTGCTCGTTTTTGACAATATTCAAAAGCTTTGATGTTGACAGCCTTTGGCCTGTTCTCTGAGGAGGATTCACCCCTCCATGAGAGCTTCTTTTCAGCC